CCCGAGCAGGTTAATAGATGGGGCTCGCGAAGAACATGGGGCCATCCATTGCAATAAGAAATGCTTACGACGAAATATATAGGGCTCCCAGCGATCGAGTGTGCCCGAGCAGGTTGAAATATAGGGTCCCCGTCAAGAGTGTAAGGCCCTCCATTTAAATAGGAAGCACCCAAGATCCAACGAAGAGAGCCCCGGCATGAGCGGGTGTGCCAGAGCAGGTTAACAGGTAGGGCTCCCAACAAGAGCATAAGGTCCTCCATTCAAACGGAAAGCACCCAAGACTTTATGTAAATGGCCCCTCGAACGATGCAATGTGCCCGAGCAGGTTACCAGAAGGGGCCCGACAGGAGCGTAGAGCCACCCATTCAGATAACAAGTACCCAAAACCCAGTGCACAGGGCTCCCGAAAGATGGAGGATGCCCGAGTAGACTATCACATGGCCCCAACAGGAGTGTAGGGCCCTAAATTCAAACGCCAAGACCCAATATACAGGGCCCTCGAACAATCCAGTGTAGCCGAGGAGGCAAACAGATGGGCCCCCCGACAAGTGCGTAGGACCCTCCATTCACATAGAAGGCACCCAAGACACAATGTGGAGGGCCCCCAGATATTTGAGTGTGCCCGAACAGGTTAACAGATGGGATCCCGGCAAGAGCGTAGGGTCCCCCTTTCAGAAAAGAAGTACCCAACACCCAGTGTGGAGGGTCCTCGAACGACTGAGTGTGTCCAAGCAGGCCATCAGATGAGCCCCCGACGAGAGTGTAGGACGCTAAGCAAGTAACAAAGAATTGGAAACGTCCTAGACCAATGTAGGGGGCCCATGAGCATATCACAAGTGTGTCGGTAGGTTAACCGAGACCCACGTAAAGGGTCCCTGAACAACCGAGAATACCCCGGCTATAGCTCACAGAGCCTTTCTGGCGAATGGAAAGAATCCGTGGATGGGCCCGTGATTGAAAAATGCCCCGGCACGTTGACAGCAAGGGCTCCGGCAAGAGCGTAGGGTCCTCCGAGCAAATGCAAAGAAATGAAGGGCAGCGTGGAATGTTCCGTAACGATCGAAGTAATCCTGCAGGTGGGCATATAGATCCCCCGGAAACAGCATGAGTCCCTAGACGGTGTAATGGGGCCTAAGATTTCGAGTTCACAAATTTAGCAATCATTGAATGATTTTTTTCAACTTCTCATATGCCCTTTATTTTCGCTTAGAACTGTTTTGGTCGCCTGGAAGTCCACAGATACCCAGTATTTTTCTCATAAATCATGTATTTCGAACTCAACCTTAGCTGATATTTCAAGCTGGAATCAATGCACAGCACCTTTTCCTCCTGCTTGGTGTCTTCTCTCCTCTTCTTTCTCTCTAGCCATTTTATCCCATCGTCCCTCAGCTCTCCGCAAAAGTCGCAGACATCTTCGATAGTTTTTCATTACGTCCAGTTTGTCATTTCAGTTTTGGCAAAGCTGTGAACACGGTTATAATCGAATTGAGCTGCTGGAAAAAGATCGTTCAACCACGCACATGTCTGGTGGTGCTTAATTTTGTCCCAGAGAGACTCCAGCAGGTGCGGCCGGTCACCGAGGTGCAGGAGCGATGGATTTCCATGCAGCTCTCTCCACGTGCGGCCGAAGCCACTGACTGGTCCCGAGCACACGGCCTCGCAGTCCGAAGACGCAGAGAGGCTTGACGCCCAATCTCGTCCATTGTCAGTCCCAAGTCGTCGTTAAGGTAGTCAGTCACGTGAGCGAGCACACCCCGCGGCAGTCGGTGTCGGCGCCCATCACCGTAGGTGGCGTCATCAAAGTTGTAGGTGGCGCCACTGAAAATACGCCTGCCGCCCCATCCGCTAGATGTCACCGTGCCCTATGCAGTATCAGGCTTCACCCGGAATTTGTCACTCAACTCCACCAGCTGTACGCAGCCCGCTAAACTGTTCTAACTTGACTTGTAATTGCGTCGGGAATAAATAAGGTGTGGTATGTCACTCATGCTATACCTGCGGCTTGCGCGCACTCCATGACGTATGTTGAATTATTCGGGTTGTGTTGTTCGGCGATTGAGGTTCAAGGGTGCATCTGATGCCGGGCTGCCAGGGTGAGAAGCAGGCGGTGTATATAGCCTCAGTAGATGAGTGCGTCGTAGATACACAATAAAGTAACGTCATTTGGCTCGTCTTCGAGTTTGGTTGCTCGGGTGGCAAGTAGGGTCCCCTGGATCCCGGACTGCTTCCCCTGAGCCCCGGACCGCCTGCTGGGTCCCAGACTGCTTCCCCTGGGCCCCGGACTACCCCTTGAGTCCCGGACTGCCTCCTGGGTCCCGGAATGCCTCCTGAGTCCCGGGCTGTTTCCCCTGGATCCCGGACTGCCCCTGGGATCCCGGACTGCCCCTGCCCCCTGGACTGCCCCCTGGGTCCTGGACTGCCTCCCCTGGGTCGCGGACTGCCCCCTGGATCCCGGACTGCCACCTGGGCCCCGAACTGCCCCCTGGGTCCCGGACACCTGACCGCGCGATAACAGCGCCGCCTGCGGCCTCGGCCAGTCCACTGGGAAAGCCCCGCAGCTGAGGCAGTCCTGCGGCCGCCGGAAGGCATGCGCCGGCAGATGGCAGTGCGCGCCGGAGTCATGGCACGATGACCAAGCACAATGCATGGTCTGGTCCATCCAGGCAGGAGCGCCGGCCGCAGGGGACCGTTTGTCTGCAGTCTCGTCGCCAGTTTACCCATGTCCAGTGTCATGCAGGCGAAGTTGCTGGACCATGTGCGCCGGATAGGAATGTCCCGCTCCAACTGGCTCCTCAGCGCTTGTCTCACTCTCCACAATGAAGCCAGCACAGCGACACGTGTACCCGGCGTATCAGAGCCACCGCATCTTGCAGTGTTAGAACAACGTGTACCTGCCCAGAGCACAGGGGTCCTCCGATTCATAAATAGCTCGCCTGAGCCGGCAAACCCCGAACACAAAACGGGATCTCCTGTCCAGAGCAGGAACTAGCTAGTTCATATAGGGGCGTTCTGATCCATAACATTGACCGCTTCATGCAGAAAAGAGCCTCCTGAACTCAGGTAAGGACTTTCTAGCTCAGCTCAATGACTGACACACGAAGACCAGGACAGGCTTCATTTCAAAGCACCATGACTTTTCGCACAGCTGACTTTTTGCGCTTTGCTTGGATCTTCTGGATGTGTGTTCCTTTGACTTTTTCATTTGATTTTTGTCCTGACCCTTATCCTGATAGGTTATTTAACCAACTTCCACGTTTAGCTTATTTCAAGTAGTATCTCCCTGCTTCAGTCTTTTTTACTCGTCAACGACATGACATTCATTCATTTTTTCTTTACCTTTAGCGCTTTACCAATTTTAAATTGTGTTGCTTGGCCTTTCTACTGCTGATCGTTTTTTATTTGCTTCGTCCCATCGGATTTGAGCATTTTTGCGTTTTTCAAAATCAAGTTATGCGTTTTTCAATCAAAATATGCGCTATTAACATCAAAACTCCTTTCAAAAATGTTATTAAAAAATATCGAAATTCCCCCAGGAAGCTCACATGATGTGAGAAGCGTCCAATGCGTCCAGACGCTGCAGTTACGCAATTTGTAGTAATCCGCACTCGCAAAGAATTCTTCTTCTAACTTTCCGCTTTTACGCACATTTGTTGCACTCGTCACCGCCCAAATATCGAGCACATTTGGCAAACGTACACTGGAGTAAGCATGACATGCAAAAACAAACTTCGTGGTCACTCCGCGCTGGCCTGGCATCTCCGGGACCGAGGCTCTCCACATCTGAGGTTGACCACACGATCGAGCTTCCGGACCGGCCTCCGCTGCGCCAAGACACGCCGACCACATCTCCCATAGTTTCTCACCATTCCTTGTTTCCATTCCATCGCAGCGAAAGGAACTGACTCAAGTTACTCGATGTAATGGCTCACTGTATATTCAAATGACGCGAAGGTGAATGCATGCATATTCACTACGTAGTCGCTTCAATCATAAGGTACGCCGCAGTCCAAACACTCAGGCGCCGGCAAAAATCACAGCAGAAACATCACAGCTGCACCACAAATACCCGGTCCTTGATATGATCGTAACGTAAGGAGTCTCTATTCCCATGAAACCCGTCAAAAGCAACTATGCCATTAAAACTGTTCCAGATACCATCTAGGTCATGAACTTGTAGTAAAATAAACACTGTGCTTGACATGCTTGACTTCGTTACTCAAAACAATATCAACGAAAACACTTCAAATAAAAGGCCTTCTTCATGGGCTACCATGATCATGCTCTGGCTTCGCATGTACGATGTACCCGTACAATAGGAGTGCGCTCACAAGCTTCGAAAGGTTTTGCTTGGTACGTCACATCTACCCGTACAATGGAAATGCGCTCACAAACCTCGAAAGGTTTTGCTTGGTACGTCACATCTACCCGAACAATGGAAATGCGCTCACAAACATCGAAGGGGTGTGGACTATACAAGCACAACCTCACATGAAAGACGAACTATTCCGCCAGCCTGCACTATCCGCTCATCCGTTAAACCAAAGCAGAAACACTACACCCCAGGCCTCGGGAGACGACCCTCGCGAGGCACCACACCGGAGATCTCCAACACCCATATCAAGAGAAACTCAAACACCAGCGTAGACCGCTTGTAAAAACAAAGAAAAACCACGGCCTTAAACATGGGTTGAGCGGCTTGGGCCAACCCACGCTGCATTCTGTTCAACCCAAGCAGAAATACCACACCGCAGTCCTTCCCAACGAGGTGCCGCACTGCCCTAGCAAGGCGCCGCACTGTCCAAGCGAGGCACCGCACTGTCAACTAAAAGCTCGGATTAGCATCAACTACAAGCCCGGCGAGGAACACTGGACGTCCGGTGAGGAACACTGTTAAAAACAAACCTGAGCACTTCTTTGACACGGACGTCACGGAAGTCCGATGACGTCATAGGGCACGAGTCCAGGTCCCTGCAGACTCGCTGATCCCTCGGTCGACGCCCTCAGTCTGAGCTGTCCGGCGGCGAGGGCAAGGCCGACGCGGAGGGCGACGCAGACGGCACCTCCACCTTCGTGTACTCGACGTGCGGCTGGGGCGAGACCATGGCCACGTACTCCTGGGGGCGGCAGGCAGACGGCCGATGAAGCCGGACAGGTCACCCTCGCCGTCAGCCCGGACACTGCGCCGGGGGTATTGCTGCGACGCGAGCCACCCCACTGCTGCGAGCCTGCAGTCGGCGACATTGGCCACGTCTCGGTCTCCCGATGCACGCGACGTCTCTGTGCCTCGTAAGAGCCTGTCTCCGAACCCAAATCTCCCCGCGGCGTTCCATCCCACCGACAATGGCCGGCAGCCCAGCCAGAATCACGACCTTCAGCGACGATGCTGCGGCCGCCCGCGCCGCCCGCGCCGCCTGGCCAGCTGGCAACACCGCCTCACCAGGCTCCAACACTGTGAGCTCCCGTGTCCCCGTGCCGAGAGTGCTGCGCTGCAGCCGTACCATGGACGTCAGCACCGCCAGCACCGCGTCCAGCCGCTGCACCAGCCGGCCGAACGAGGGCCGCTCGGCCGGCTCCTGATGCCAGCAGTCCAGCATCACGTCGTACCTGCGGCGGGGCGCGGACGCGTCACGGACCGGCCTCGGGTCTCGAGCTGCGCAGCCTCCGCGGCGGACCGCGCCGGGACCGCCGCTCGGGCAGGTCCGCTGACGCGGCCGGCCGGTGGGGCGTGACAAAAGATGGCGCGGCGAGATATGCATTAACGTATATGCCCCGATTGTCGGGGCCTGGTCCCGTGTTCGGCCAGTGCTGGGCGGTGGGCACTTACCAGGCCCCGTAGACAGAGCATCAGGCGTCACTACACAAGACATCGGGTGGTGGCCCTCCAGGAGCCCAGGCAACAAACGTCTGATGGCGTTTCTCCCAGCTGCCGAGCAACAACCCGGCCAGCTTTAAAAGCATGAGAGGTTGTATTGTTTACGTCACATGCGCCGCGCGCATCTGGGAACATGACAGCACTATTGCACCGGTACGATAATGTACAAAAAAACGGGAGTAACTGCTCTTGATAGAGCATGTGCAGCCACGAAAAAAACATCGAGCGTAATGACAGTACAACGTGAAGTGCTTAAGGTGCTATTAGCCACAGCAGAAAACAGCTGGAATCAAAAATATTTACAACACACAAAACTACAATGCCAAAACCTATAATTCTACGGTGCAGCTGTAGGTGCCGAGCCCGTTGAGCCGTTTCTCCCCGGCCGAAGGCGTGTGGCCAGCCGGCGGCGGCGGCACCGGCGCCAGCGACACCGCAAAGACCCCGGTGGGACTCACACGCTGGCGGGACAGGCGGCCGGCCGGGCCATGCGCCGACCCTGCCGCAGCCAGTCGCCCAGCTCGTCCACGCTGTTGACGGTCGGGTATGGCGCGCAGCCCATCGTCATGATCTCCCACAACAGCACGCCGAACGACCAGCTGCCGGCCGGGAGCAGTCTGGTGTCAACAGTAGCGCCTGGCAGAGGTACCCTTAAAATGTCCGCTTCTTGATTCCACAAGTCCCCACGAGACGTAACCAGAGGCGCATTTCCAGGCAGCCAGCCCGCAGAAGCGCCGTGCTCCAAACGGTTCCTGTCAGATGTGCCCTCTGCAGTACATTCACCTGCATTCCTTCCCACACCGTCATACAAAAAGGAGGTCCATCCCTGCCCACCGCACACACAAGCGTACGTTTGGGCCACGGGTGGCGTCACAGACCCATGACCACAGCGTCAGCGTACGTACACATCAGACCCAGTGGTGTAAAGTTGGTCGAACAGCGCCTCGGGCGCCATCCACTTGACCGGCAGCCGGCCACCGGTGACCTTGCGGTAGTAGTCCTTTTCCCTGACGTCCCTGGCCATGCCAAAGTCAGCGATCTTCAGCGTCTTGTCCTCGCCGACCAGCACGTTCCGGGCGGCCAGGTCTCGGTGGATACACTGGCGGCGGAGAAGTGACCGTTCAGTGCAGCGTCTCTCGGCGACGCCCGACCGCGCGGTGGCAAGCGGTGCGGTGGAAGACGCGGTGCGGTGGCAAGCGGTGCGGTGGAAGACGCGGTGCGGTGGCAAGCGGTGCGGTGGCAAGCGGTGCGGTGGAAGGCGCGGTGCGGTGGCTAGTGCCACCTGTCGTCGGGCGGCGGCGGGCCTTCGCAGCGCTCGGTGTAGTGAGGGATGGCATGTCTGACAGGACAGCTGTGGGCTGCAGCGCTGTGGAAAGTCCCGCATCTTCTCAACAGTGTTGCTTATCGTCTCTGCACTAGGAATATCCAGTAGCAACTGGTCAGTGACCGGGGTAGGTGTGGGGTAAGGTGTGGGGTAAGGTGTGGGGTAAGGTGTAGGGTAAGGTGTAGAGTAAGGTGTGGGGTAAGGTGTGGGATAAGGTGTAGGGTAAGGTGCTGGGGTAAGGCACGGGGTAAGGTGTGGAGTAAGGTGTGGGGTAAGGTGTGGGGTAAGGTGTAGGGTAAGGTGTAGGGTAAGGTGTGGGGTAAGGTGTATGGTAAGGTGTGTAAAGTGTCGCAAATGGAGCCGCAACGCCCGAGCTGATCGAACGAACCAGAGCGGTAACGAACGAACGAACCAGACGAACCGGAACTGCGACGACGGGCGAGACTTCACAACGCGGGCTTGAAGCATCAGACGCGCTCCACTACAGAAATAACCAGAACAGGACGGTCTCAGAGGAGCAGCGCACGTACGTACTGACATCCAGCAGTCGGAGACAAAGCAGCTATCTAAGCCATGCAACACCGAGCCAGCCAAACCTGTCCAACAACGGACAGACCGGCGCCGCTAAGGCGACCGCGGTACGTACCTTCCGGCTGGCCAGGTACTCCATCCCGCGGGCCACCTGGAAGGCGAAGTTGACCAGGTCGCACGGAAAGGGCAGCTCGGAGTCAAACGGCCGCTCGCACTCTGCCCTCTCGCGCAGGTACGTCAGGAGGTTGCCTGGGGGAGGGGCGGTCAGCCAACGGGCGCGGCACCTGTTGCCTCCTGAGAGATGGGAGGGCGTGCACGGACAGGACCGGCTCCAACTGCGGCACACGCCAGGTGCATGTATCGCTGCAGCACTGTGTCGTACACATGAATACTGGTCAGCTTCCCCAGGCTTGTGAGCCCCAATGTCGCCTAGATGAGTCAATTCAGCGTTGTTGTTAACTTTTGCTTGTGCCTTAGGACTTTCTAAGACGCTGTTGCGTTTCCTAACAGCGTGGTTTGGAGCCCGCATCCGGAGCCCGAGGTGTTGCAACGTGTGCAGTGTTGCAATCAACGCATTCACATACCGCTCACAACTGGCACACCCGACGGACTGTTGACCCCCCCCCCCCCCCCTCCCCCCTCCTGCAACGACTGTGATCTGTTGGCTGCGCCGACCAAGCACACCGTGCCACCGTCTCCAGCGGGGGAGAGGGCAGAGCCCGGAAGGGTGACGCCGCGCTGACCGTGCTCGGCGTACTCCATGATGACCATCAGAGAGCTGCCGCGCGTGCAAGCGCCGATCAGGCTGACGACGTTCACGTGCGATCCGACCTTCTTCATCATCTCCATTTCGGAGACCAGGTCCATCAGGTCCGTGTCGCGGTGGTGCTCTGTGAACCGCCGGTCCGCCAGTCGTCAGAACACCAATGTAGCCGACAGCCTCCACCCAACCGAGCAGCCCTCACCGGCCGCCGCTGCCCGCAGCCTCAGATCAGCCAGCTGTCGCGGCAACCGAGACGGTCAGTTGTTCCTATCGATGGCGGTTTAGCGGCTGGCGCGCCGCACCAGGCACCGGATGACACCACACCGCGACACCTCCCAGTTGTCACTCACTCCCGCAGCGTGCCGGCGCACTATCACAAACCGCACCGCCCGGGCCGGCCGGCGGACAGCCCCCAGAGACCGCATGACCGCGGCGACTCAGGCTAACAACGCAGCGGCTAGCCACACGCCAGCGCCGGCTGCGCTCGTCGTCTCGGCATGGCGCCGGTGCCGGGCTGGCCCGAGAACTATAGCTCATCCGGGGGACGTTGAAACCCAGGACGGCGCTCGCCCTGGCTCCCAGAAGCAGCGCGTTCGAAACTCGTCATCAGCCACGTTTCGATCTCCTGCTACAATCGACATGACAAAAGGCGACGACGGCCGGTTTCACAAACACCGTTAAGCAGCCGAAAGCGTCACTACCCCAACAGCCGCACAAGTTCTGGCCCAGCTGACCTTTCAGCATCTTGACGGCGACGACGCGGACGGGGTGCGTTTGCCGGCCGGCCGGCCGCAGGCGGGCGCGTACCACGCGGCCGAAGCAGCCCTCGCCCAAACAGTCGGCCAGCTGGAGCCGATCGTGCGCCACCTCCCAGGCCGGGTCCGACGGCAGCAGGTAGGCGGGCGACGCCGCGCCACCCTCCGACGCTCTGACGGGGAGACGACGACGTCGGCTCGGCCACGCGCAACACGCAGCACGCGTTCTCCCCGGCCACGCTCCACAGCTGGGACACGCGGTGCTGGACCGCGACAGGGCGTATCCGGCTACTCGGCCACGTAAGCGCTCACGTTGCGGGACACGGACATCGGAGGCTGAACACAAACCGGAGCATTGCAATCGACATCAGCCATCACGGTCGGATGGCACAACGCGTCCGACAACAAACGTGGCACCATCCCAGAGTAGCCATTCGGTCACCACACAGCACACCCCGGCACGACGCGAACGGTGACGGACCATCCCCTGAACGCTGGCGGAGCGTCTCTCCCGGGACTCCGCGCCGCCGACACAGTCATCATCCCTGAGCGCGCGCCACATACCTGCACGGCTCGATGCGCACCACGGGCACGGCGAACTCCTCCGGCGACGCCTCGATCACCACACGCCTGGTCAGGGTGCGGATGCGCCGCTTGTACCGGCGGCGGCCGTACCAGAGCGCCGCGGAGAGCAGCGCACAGGCGACGACCGCGGCGATCGCCGTCGACATCAGCCCCAACGGCCAGCGAGCCGGTGCCGGCGGTCCGCCCGGACCTGTAGCGCCACCGAGCGGGCGGACGTACGGCATGGTGCGGACGGCGGGGGCACCGGGCTGGGACACGTCACCAAACCGGAGGCGCCACTGGACGCTCTCCCCGCGTCATCCCAGACTCGAACTGTTTACCGAGTTATCGCAGCACATTCGCGAGTGCTGCGGCGCAAGAAAAAAAAACGGCGGCTTGGCCACAGACACATCCTTGGCTGCTGTGGCGCACGCCGAAGCGTGCGAGGCGTACCGGGCACCGCGGACGACACGAGCATATCTTGCCTTCCACCATTGTGACCTAGACCGAGGCGTACCGGGCACCGCGGACGACACGAGCATATCTTGCCTTCCACCATTGTGACCTAGACCGAGGCGTACCGGGCACCGCGGACGACACGAGCATATCTTGCTTTCCACCAATGTGACCTAGACCGAGGCGTACCGGGCACCGCGGACGACACGAGCATGCCTTACCTTCCACCACTGTGACATAGGCCGAGGCGTCCCGGACACCGTGGACGACACGAGCATGTCTTACCTTCCACCACTGCGACATAGGCCGAGGCGTATGCGACGTCCCAGGCAGTGTGGACGACGCAGACGTAGTACCCCGAGTCGTTGGCCGTCACGTTCATGATGATCAGACGGGGCGGCGAGGACGTGTCGAAGCGACTGCCGTCAACCTGCGGCAACAAGCATGGCGGTCTCCAAAACCACGAACGAGGGTGTACGGGCTACGATACCAACAGTAAGTGCTAATGTACTTCATTTGCATTGGACTTTGGCACCCCACTTTCCGCTTCTAGCCACAAACACAATCGTGATCAGCGAGCAACAAAGCTTGCGGTTTGCCCAACCCAACACGATGACCCCGATGTCAGTGAGACTGAAGCACGATGCGGGAGACACCAGCTGGCACGAGAGGCTACAAAGCACCACCAGTCCGGACATGGAGCACACACCCCAGCCTAACCCAGACCGCGATGATCAGAGCTAAATGTTCACCTCTGAGCTGGACAGCGCGTGCTGCCTGGCCTGCTCCAACTGCCGCGGCGTCGTCAGCTGGACCCGTCCAGTCTCACCTCTGAGCGGGGCAGCGCGTGCTGCCTGGCCTGCTCCAACTGCCGCGGCGTCGTCAGCTGGACCGCGCCAGTCTCGGAGCGCAGCCAGATGACTTCGCCGCTGGTGGCGGCGGCCGCAGCTGGACACTCCAGCGTCACGCGCGAGCCAAGCAGCGCGCTGGCGTTGGCAGGCCGCACGGGCAGCGCCGCCCGCGGCACCTCTGGGAAATACGCGCACGCAGCGCCCTCTCTCAGACAGGTGACGCCGAAATGCCCGTGGTAGGACATCGGTACCAACACATGACCTGGCACCTCGTCTTTGACATAGGCCGGTAAGTTTTTAACTCACCGATGACACCTTGGAACACCAAGTCTCGACTCTCGCCGGTACCTCGATAGCCAGCATGGTATTCTAACAGTGGACTGCTGATACGTCTGAGTGATTTGAGAGTGCCTCAAAAAACGGTCGCGACAGGCATTACCTGCCATTCGACACCTCAGAGCTGCTCCAAACCAAACAAGCATGATTTATGTTACCGCGCGACAACGGTAAACGTCCTCAACCAAAGCCGTTTGTCCTCTTGGCGCTTAAGGTCGGCACCTTCATTTAGCCGAGGCGTGGCACCACGATCCTCGTTCAGGCTGCACGGTCCCGGATGCCTTCAGACGATACAACAGCCGCCGAACATGCAATCAGTTACGGTCTCACAAGCAAACGCACATCAAACAAGCACCGCCTTATACTGCAACAAGCGCCAACATGTTCACAGAACTTGCAAACCTGCGGAGCGCAGACCCGCCGACCTCATATCACCCGAGCCTACCTCCTCGAGAGCACTGCCGCTGCTCTGACCGACACTCGAGCCCCGGCCAGCCTTCCGCGTGTCACGCGGCCAGCCCGTCTCATTCCTCACCTTCCACCACGCGCAGGTGGGCGTTCGCCATGTCAAAGCCGATGTGGTTGTACAACAGGCAGGTGTAGAAGCCGCTGTCGTCGCCGCTGACGCCCCGCACCACCAGCCGCTGCCGGCCGCTGATGTCGTAGCGTTGCTGCGGCACGGGCGGCGCGGCGCGCCGGTCACTGCCACGCCACTCCCGGCCGCCCCCGGGCTGGGCGGGGGGCTGGCGGCGGCCGAGGCTCCGCGGAACCCCGCAGATCTGGTGATGGGGCCCAGTGGCCGCTCGTGGCCAGCCGTGCACAGCGGGGCGGTACGTCGGGGCTTCACCCCACCGTTCCAGCTCTTTCCATTCATTCTGTACGCCTGATACGGACCCGTCCGCCGCTGCGCCCGTCCATGCCTGGGCCAAGCCGTACCTTGTGAACGCTGATGGCGAACTGGATGGCGTAGCTCATGTCGGACATATTGTGCACCTCAAAGGGGCCCGAGCGCGTGAACGTCCAGAAGAGGTCCATGTTGAAGTCCCAGGAGCTGGGGCACTCGAACGTCACGTTGGAGCCGGCCAGCGACGTCACGTTACGCGGGTACCCCGGCTCGATTACCGGGTCCTTGTACAGACCGTCCGCTGGAACAAACCGGCACGGGTCGGGCCGAAACTAAACACGAGCGGCAGTGCAGCGTCTAAACGGCATCACGGTCACATATCAGGGTCAGACCTCAAACAGAATCGGAGTCGAAGAGGCCAGACCGTCACCTGGAAAACCCTCTCCGGCTGCTCATTGTTCCACCTCACCAACAACAGCACACCCACGTGCAGCACATCCACAGATGGTGCCAGTCACGTCAAGCTCTGAACACGCCCGCGGCCGAGCTGGCCCGGCTGGGGGCCGCACCAGCTCGGCCGCCACCACTGACTGGTAGTCACGAGCTCCCAGGTGTGGCGCACGCTCCCCAGTGCGTTCTCGGCCACGCAGGGTGTAGCTGCCCTCCTGGAAGTGGCCGGCCATGGCCAGGCGGAGCCAGCCGCCACCGAACGTGGCGACGTCGGCTACGTGCGGCACCTTCAGCACCGGCCGGCCCTGGTACAGCCAGTGGACGCGTGGCGGCGGGCAACCTGCGGGAGGTGGCGGGGGTGCAAGGTAAGGTGAAGGTGAGGAACTCCATCTAACGTAAGGTAAGGTGAGATGAGCTCAAGCGACTAATGCCGCGGACCGGACACACTCATGCCCGAAGCTTTTTCAGCACAAACAGGCTACAAGCCATGCTGAACCGATGACAGCTTCGCATGGCCCCTACGTTCTCGGCAGATACCGCTCCCCCGGCCTCCTCCGCCCCGACAGTGCAGCACGCCCGCGCGCCTCCCCAGCGCGCCGAGCCGGGCCTGACCTCTGGCCGGACAGCGCAAGGTGACCGGGCTGCCGGCGAGCACCACCTCCAGCCGGCGCAGCCGGGCTATCTCGTCGAAATGGGGCGCGCGTGGCACCAATGAGCCGTTTGTCCCAGGCGTGGCACCGGGCTCGACGGCAGCGCAGAGGTCCGTGACCTCCTCCACGCTGCCGCTGTCCCGCTCGGCCGGCTCGTCGCCGTAGTCGTCTCTGTAGCTGTCGTCATAGTCGACTCTGGTGACCTGGAGGCTGTAGTTCTGCCACCGTTCCGGCAACGGCCAGATCACGTGGCAGCCGTAGTTGCCGGCGTCTGACGGACGTGAGTTCCGGATCACCAGCCTGGAGAGAGGAGCCGGTCAGTCACCAGCCTGGAGGGAGGAGCCGGTCAGTCACCAGCCTGGAGGGAGGAGCCGGTCAGTCACCAGCCTGGAGGGAGGAGCCGGTCAGTCACCAGCCTGGAGAGAGGAGCCGGTCAGTCACCAGCCTGGAGGGAGGAGCCGGTCAGTCACCAGCCTGGAGGGAGGAGCCGGTCAGTACATCCCGGATCATCGGCCTGGAGAGATGAGCCGGCCAGCCATCAGCCTGGAGGGAGGAGCCGGTCAGTCACCAGCCTGGAGGGAGGAGCCGATCAGTCACCAGCCTGGAGAGAGGAGCCGGTCAGTACGTCCCGGATCATCGGCCTGGAGAGATGAGCCGGCCAGCCATCAGCCTGGAAAGAGGAGCCGGTTAGTCACCAGCCTGGAGAGAGGAGCCGGTCAGTACGTCCCGGATCGTCATCCCTGTGAGAGGATCGGTCAGTACGTTCTGGATCACCAGTCCCGTACAGGAGCCGATGAGTACGTCCTCAGTCACAGCGGCGCCCCTCACCGGCGTCGATGTTTCCGAC